TTTTTTTTTTAAGTCACCAGTGAATGAAGCTTACATTCAGTAGAAAACTGTTATGTTATTATAAGTAAAGATATCAAAAGATGAAAGACGCACTTGATTACATAACATTAACAATGCAGCAGCTTAAGTTATATATGGTTTATATAAAGTTTTTTTTTTAACTTTAGGAAATCTTAAACTTCTAGAAAATCAAAAATAAAAATATTACTTCTGAGGTGATCCGCTATAAAACGTCTATCTCCAGGTGTTTACAGGGAAATTCGTGATTTATTTATGGATAGGAAATAAGTCTTCAGCTTCATTAGTCACTTCTCAATATAGACTATAACTAAAAAGGATACTTTTCTCTCTCTCTCTCTCTCTCTCTCTCTCTCTCTCTCTCTCTCTCTCTCTCTCTCTCTCTCTCTCTCTCTCTCTCTCTCTCTTTCTTTATTATTATGGATAAACAGTGGCCTGGTGAGGGGAAGAGGGTGCCTGGAAAGACAGAACAACTAAAACAAAGGATCAGAGGTACAACCTCAAGTCTTGGCGTTGCCTAACCAACCAGTCGGCCTGGAACAGCTAGCTCCTCAGAGTTTTACAAAAGACTAATAAACTCAAATCAACAAGAAATGCTCACAAATCTGACTTGGTAACTGACACCCTAAGGACACGCGTGGCCCCTGGCCAGGACGAGAGTACTCACTTTCTCTGCGCACATCCTCCAGTGCCGCAGTGAGCTCATCCTTTAACACGGTGGCTTCCTGGGCAATTTTCTCTCCTTTGTCTAGTAAATTCCAAGTTGCTTCCTCCACAGAAGCTAGAAGAACTCTGGCTCTCTTTGAACGTCCCTTTTTCCTGTTAGAAGGGTTCTGGGGACAATTTACAAGTGTAGTAACCTAAAATTAAAAAATGCAGATCAGTTATTAGACAGGAAAACACAGTCCTGGGCTACTCTAGGGAGGAACAAAAGGGAGTATTTCATAGTGGTACAATTCATTCCAGGTAGTGCTATTACTTCCCCCAAAATCAAGGCAATCTATCTTAAGAGGAAAGGGAAAACTATTATAATTAAGTATTAACCTATTCAAATTAAGAATAGAGGTTACTAAAATAGAGTGAAGGGAGTACTGTGAAATATAGAAAATAGTACTTAGCTAAGGGGAATAAGGCCCAAATTCTTACTATTAACTCCACCCGTGCCCATTGTAACCTCTCATACCTGCCTCCCATACCCTTCTCTTCCTCATTTGGTCTCTCAAATAGATTCCACTCAATATCCTCCCTCCAGACTCCTTCCTGACCACCCATCCTTACCTCTCCCACTATATCACATCATCCTCACTGTATCACATCACCACTTTATATGTCTTCATGATAGGATACTATTATCTATATACTATAGATAGTTTAGGATCCAATATCTTTTATTTGTTTATATTTATTGCATAGACCATTTAAAACAGAAGAAATATGCTTTGTCTTTCAGCACCCAAAGTAATGCACATAGTGACATTCAATAAATATTTGTTAAACAATGGATTAGTGAATGAGGTAGCTTGGAAAGGGATTTTTTTTAAGATTTATTTATATATGCATATAAGAACTGGGGTACAGGCCACCGTTGCAGAGAAGGGGGGAGGGGGCATTACCAAAGACAAAGTGGGGAGCAGAACAGGTAGACTAACTGGAATTCACTGCTGAGGGGAGCAGTGGGTGAGACAGGAGAGGTCTGCTGTGCCATGTCGGTCACCTCCCTGGCTAGGGATCGAACTTGTGCTGCAGTAGCTGTGGATAGCTTCACAGTGCAGCACTTTAACCCACTGTGCCAGCAGGGAGGGCCCTAGAAAGGGATTTTTTAATGTCTATATTTTACATTGTCTGACCGTTTTAATAATGAGCATGTATTACTTTTGCTAATTTATCATAAATAAGAATAAACTCAGGCCTCCCTAATGGTGCAATAATTTGAGTCTCAGCACTATGAAGCAATTCACAGCCACTGGCAGCATGAGTTTAATCCCTGGCCAGGGAGCTGACCCACATGGAGCAGCAGACCTCTCCTGTTCCACCTTGCTGCTCCCTTCAGCAGTATATTTCCATAGATCTACCTATTCTGATCCCCACGCTGTCTCTGGTGAATCCTGTTACGCTCCCATACCTCTGGTCTATACCCCAACTGCTGTATGCATAAATAAATAAACCGCTAAAAAATATTAACTCATTATATTTGGGGAAAAAACTCACATAAAATTATATTGTGAAAATATCCATTTCTTAATTAAACCTTAGACTCTAATGGTTAAATTGTCAGAAGCAAAACTTGAAGATATCCATTGCAGATGATAAAAGATGATTGCTTGACAGACAGGTACACATACACATGCACACAATAAACATCACTAAGTCATTAAAAAGGATGAAAATATGCTATTGAAAATAACATGGATGGATCTTGAGGGTATTATATTAAGTGAAATAAGTCAGAAAGACAAATACCATATCTCACTTAAATGTGGAATCTAAAATAGCAAACTACAAAATAATTCCAATCTCATTGTTACAAAAAACAGATTGCCAGAGGCATGGGGGTGTGTGAAATGGGTAAAAGTGGTCAAAAGGTCATTATACCTATTTATAAAGTAAATATACCTTGGGAATATAAGGTACTGTATGACTGTGCATTAATGACTATAGTTAATAATATTGTATAGCATATTTGTAAGTTTCTAAGGGAATATTAGTTCAAGGAGATGTGGTATATACACATATACGCATATATGTATATATACATATATATACACACACACAATGGATTAGTACTCAGCAATCAAAAAAGGTAAACTCATGTCATTCACAGCAACATGGATGGAGCTGGAAGGGATTATGCTCAGTGAAATAAGTCAGAAAGAAAAAGAAAAATATTGAATGGTTTCACTTATAGGAGTTAAGAGAACCAAATAAGACATGGGGAGGGCAAGTGTGTTGTTATTACAATACAAAACACAACACAACAAAACAAAACAAAAACAATTATAAATCAGAGAAGAGCCTAGGGGAGGGGGACTGTGGTGATGATGGGAGGGAGGGGGGTAAGTAAGCATGGAAATGAGCAAATGAAAATGGATATATAAAAATAAATTAAAAATAAAAATTATACCTACTCATTTGAAAAAAATTGTAATTATAATGACAGATGGTAGCTAGACTTACTGTGCTCATTTGTACAACATGTACAAATATCAAACCATTATGTTATACACACATGAAACTAATATATCAATTATACTTCAATTATTAAAAAACAAATTAATTGGTAAAAATAAAAGTACTGCTTGGGGAGGAAAGGGGGGAGGAAAGGAAGGAGGAAAGGGCAGGGACAGAGAAAGAGAGAATGAATATGAAGGAGAAAGCAAGACTTGCTTGTCCTCAAATATCACAGCACATCATTGACAACAGACATCCATACATAACACTTCCTGCTCTGCAGCCTTAGATATTTTGCTTGTTTATTGTCTGTGAGGCAGTAAGTGCTTATGAGGATATCTAACCCGCTTTTAGGTAGAAACTGAGGAAGCAGATGAAAACAATTTTTGTCTGATGTTACTTTCCTCCCTCTTTCCAATAGACTTTCTGTTTTATTCCCATGTCTACAACCCAGAGTATCTTGTTGTAACCCTTTGTTTTCTCACTGGGGAAATGATAATAAACATATCCTATAATATTATGTGGAAGTTAAATCATATAAAATGTCTTTTGAAATATTAACATGACACAAATATTGGGTGATATTTAATGTGTACTTTCTAGTCCACTTTCCCCATTGATATAAGAAGTCTGCTCTGGGATCCTTGTTAAAAGTGTTTTTTCTGGCCCTCCTTGGTGGCGCAGCGGGTTAAAGCACAGCACAAGAAGCTTAAGCCACTTCCACATGAGTTCCATCCCCGCCTGCCCCGGAGGAGATCCACATGGCGAGGCAGACCTCTCCTGACCCGCCCGCTGCTCCCCTCAGCAGTGTACTTTGTCAGTCTGCCTGTTCTGTACCCCACTCTGAGTCTGGTGAATCCTCTCACCCTCCGCATCTCTGACCTGTACCCCAGTTCTGTACGAATAAATAAAAAAAAAGTGTTTTTTCTGAGTGAAGCTTTATCTTGCTGGTAGGATGTCCCACTCTAAATGGGATAAAGGCAGTTAATAAAGTACTTTCTACACACTTTACAAGCAGTCGAAAAAGACCAAGTCTTTATCATGCATTATATAAAATTGATAAGAGCCTGATTTATTATATGAGTTTTCATATACTCCAAAAAGCAACTATCTTACTGTGGTCAGTCTCATTTATATATTAAGTTACAAGATATTTGTCCAGATTATGACAAATTACAGGCCCTAGTTTAAACCTTTGTTCCAAATGAAAAATACATATCATTATCTAAAGTATTCCTTCAGAATGTATTTTAAGTGCCACAATTCATGCTGCTTCCCACTGAACATTCCTCTATTATTGTTCAGCTCCTCATGCACCAAATGTTTTCCATAGAATAGCCTGATCTTTGAAATTAAAATGAGCATTCCAGAAATGCTTTTTCCTTATAATAAATGCTGGAGAAGTAAGAAATGTGAAAAGAACATTGTATAAAAACACTGTACTTCCATAAAAATAAATGCAATTGCAACTTACAAGTTATTCATATTTATAAATCGTTTATACCTATGTCTTCTTTTCAAATACTCCAATATAAGTATCTACTGTTGTTTAAGAAAAAGTTAAGTGACATTCATTTGATTTTGGAACATAAATATGGCTTGGTAATCCTGTGAGGGGGTGGGGGGAATGAAGCCTTTTGTACCACCCAAAATCACCTACAAGAATCAATTGACTCTCATCAGTGCCTTTGACTCATGATTGCAGTCTCAATAAAGGATGTGGGTGCACATGTTACTTGAAAAAGTTTCCCATCCCTTGAAAGTGTATTATTAACCAGTAAAATGAAATTTCAAATTTTCAGTAAAACAATATCCTTTTCCTCATTTTCCTTTCCAGTATAAAATTAGCTGTATTTTAGGGCCCTTCCTGGTGGCACAACAGGTTAAAGCACTGTGAAGCTAGCTGCAGCCACTGCAGCACAAGTTTGATACCTGGACAGAGAGGTGACCCACATGACACAGCAGATCTCTCCTGTCTAGTGTCTGCTCCCCTCAGCGATGTCTTTCTGCCTTTTCTGCTCCCCCCTCTGTCTCTAGTGAATCCTCTCACCGCCCCTGCACCTCTGGCCTACACCCCAGTTCTGTATGCATAAATAAATAAATCTCTTTTTAAAATAGCTGTATGTTATAAGGAACACCAAAGCTTGATTTGGAATTAACAACAAAGATGATATTTAATGTAAAATCCACATCCATGTCTTGCTAACTTTTCCATTTGTCACTAATACACAAACCTTTCCTTTCCATTGTTCCAGTTCCATACTTAAAACTCTTAGCTTGATTTACTTACTTTTCTTTAGTCTATAAATCTGTACTGACTTGCAAGCACACCTTCATCATTGATGCAGGAAGAGGATCCCTATTACAATGGTCCTAAATCAGAGACTTCAAGTAATAATGAAAAGAAGAAATTGCTTATTCTATTAATTCTGAACACTTGAAATTTAGAGAAAAAAAATGTAATATTTAATATATTATATCAAATATTTAATATCTATTTAATTACAAATATAAATATTATGTTGTTTATATTTAATAATACCTAAATACTATTAAATATAAATAACATAATATTTTATATATTAAAATTTACAGGGGAAAATGCTGTTTAATTTTTCCTAATTCAGATATGCTTCTCCAGATGCTTCAAAGATACTAAAATTTAAATTGATATGCTTAGTGAACCAAGTCA